GAAGATTAATATTGCATGAATGATAGATATGCATAATATTTTGTCGATGTCGAGTCGACACCTACATATCAATTTCATTTATAGAAGATATCGTATAGCTATCGACTTGTTATTGATAATTTAATTTTTATCTAGTAGATATCATATGCAGATATCATATAGATTTTAACATATCCATATATCGAGTCGATATATTAATTCGACTTTAGTAGTTTATATTAATATGACACTATAAGATCTGTATTCGCTGCTCATTAGCCTTAAAAACTTTGTTAGTTACTTGAATAATATAAGGAGCTTCATACATAATTTCGTTGACTTTAGTACGATATAAGTTGAATAATGACTAGATCGTCGACATAGTATCTTCCAAATGTCTTGATGATATCTTCGAAATATCAAATTGATTATTGATTTTCACATGATTTTAACTTGATTTCAATACGATATCGAACAGATTTTTCGTCAATTTGTCGACCCGAGCGTTGTTGAAATTCAAAGCTTAAAAATTCTTCTAACAAAATTATATATCATTGCTCATGTGTGAAACAACAATTGTTGATTTGAGTATATTACTTTTAAGACTCCTTGTACTTCGGCCATGTTGAATTTGTGGCATCAGAAGCGAGGAACGACATACTGATGAAAGTTACATACCATTTCTAAATGAAGATAAACATGAACGAAAGAACATTTGAGACCGTTTGAGCACATTTGTAAAATTGTTCGAAAGATATTTCTTTTCTCTGACGATTAATAAATAGTCGTACAACAAATGATGAAGTGAGGCATGCAGACGACAGATTTATTTCATCATTTCACTCGCCCCATTTATATTTCACCATTTATATTTCACCATTTATTATACAACTATTTATTGATCATCTGAGGAAAGAAATACCTCTCGGATAATTTTCCAAATATGCTCAAGCAATCTCATATGTTCTTTCATTCATATTTATCTTTATTCAGAAATGGCATGCAACTTTCGCCAGCATTCCTCGTTTCTCTGACGTTACAAATCCGACATGGCCGACGAGGTACATGAAGCCTTAAGTAGGTACTAATCTTTTTTCCGTGCACGTAGTTTTATCCTGCAATAATATCGCGTTCCACTAATGACACAGTCGACTGAGACGCAGCTCTTGGTAAGTCAATACGCCTAAAGTTGCATGTGTAACAAAAAGAAATCCCTCGAAGCCGTTGCCTCCCAACTGCGCACTACCCTGCGGAGCGCGGTTAAAGTTGGTTAAAGTTTAGCCAGTCGCGAAGTAATAACAATCCGTTATCACGAGATCCTCGCGAATGAGGACCGCGCTTTTCAGAAAATTGCACGACAACCGACGGTCAGCCGCGTGTCGATTCCGCATTTTAAAAATAACGCCGTTCGCGTTATGCCACGAGCGATCGATAGTAAATGGATGACTCAGAGACTTCAGAATTCTTTCTGTTTCTCTAGCTTTTCTAGAAACTTATACCTAGTTTCCTAATTATTATATACTATAAATAATACATCAATATACGGTATCCAAATATTTTATAAAAAAATATGAGTTAATATGAGTTAAATGAAATATCTTGCTCATTCTTAAGGGCATTCTTACACTGTAAAAAATCTTGCGTACACAGTACGTAAGCAAATGTTCCAAAAAGTCCATTCTAAATTTTGTGTCGAAAATAACTCATTCATATGTTCATTCGTGTGTTATTTATGTTATGTACTAGTCTAAACATAATATAAATAACACACGAATAAACATAAATGACTTATTTTCGACACAAAATTTAAAGTGGACTTTTTGGAACATTTGTTTACGTACTGTGTACACAAGATTTTTTACAGTGTAAATGCTGCTTTCGAGCTTTATATACTAACATTTTTTTATTTCTGTAATTTTTTTTCTAAATTACTATTTTACCAGCTTTCCGGAATCGCCGAGTAATTTATCGAGTGAGTTATCGTCAAACTGGGTCATTTTCATCTGTAGTTATATGTATAGCATTTCAGTGAAGGAATTGTGTACTTTGAGAGAGTGGCATATGGTGGCATTTGATTCTTCATTACTGTCTTCCTCGCGAGCGCGCTCATTTTGTGATTCCTCGCTAACTACTCGATACCTGTCGAACGCTCGCTCGTTAACGAGCACGTGCTTTTTTATCATGGCCATCAGACTGAACACCCGGCCTCTCATTGCGAGGCCAGATGATGAGATTGAAAATCGCCGACCGCTCGAATACGCTCGTGGGGAAGGATTAAACAGTCGGAAAGAGCTGCATATCGTTCTTTTTTTTTTTTTATCTCTCATGTCTCACGGCATTCCAAACGTTTGCGTAGCGTCGTGGGTCGCGTGCGAATATTAGATGACGATAATATTTCTGTCTGTCACACTATCGTTATCTATACCGTTTTATCGCATATTCTTCGCGGCGAATCGTTAATTCGTATGATTTTAATACTGCTGCTTGATGTGTTACTTCCTCTATTTGTCTTGCGTTAGATCACCAGCTATTCCGCGTCCTATTGTGTGATTTAAAAGCGTACTCGTGCAGTTAATTATTGGCTCACACACTGTGTGTGTTGTGTACCGTCGTCCTTTACTCATTTACAACACAATTTATCACAATTTGCAACACACAACTACACAAATATTACAAGTTGGAGCTCATAATACGGCTCGATACGCAGACATGCCTCTGTGTGTACGGTCGGCTGGTCAAATATAGAAGCACTTTTCCTTGGTGAGTTTTGCAATCTGTTCGGTATCCAATAGGAAAACATGTCTGAGAACATCTCCTGAAAATCATTGAAGAAACAAATTCTCCTACTGGATACGAAATACGTTACGAAACTCATCCTGGAGAAACGTTGCAATCTTTAATCAGCCAGCTGTTCTGCAAATCCAAGTGTGTAACTTTTCAATATATCAGTGTGTAATTTGACTGGAGCTCTTTTTACAGTCTCTTGCGGTTTTAAATCACGTCATTTGCTACGCTTAAACGTCTTAATTGACGTCGCTTGAAATGAGGAGAAACATGTAAAAAGAGATTCAGCCACTCAATTGGATCTGCGTAAGAAATAAGTTGCAAAACGATTTAGACATAACGCGATATTGGACCTCGCGAAACTGTTAAAATTGGGAGTCATTACAGACGAGCTTGCCTAGTAATTATATTATTAATTATTATTATTAATTATTATTATTAATTATCAGTATTAGCCTTATTTAATATTCTTAATTATATTATTATTATTTAAATGTCTCATTCTTTCTTTAGTTATCACCTTTAATTATTATTATTGTGTAAATCCGTCACTAATGATTTTGAATTCTGACAGTTTGTCAAGCTCTAAACTTCGTTGTGTCTAAATTTTGCAAGCCACTGTACGTCTTCCTCCAGCTGTGGATGGGGTAGAGATAAGATTCATGAGATAAAAAGAAATTTCACCAGTCACACGATTACGCGCCTCGAGTCGCATTGTTTATCAAATTTGTCGCTGATAATAACCCCTTCCTAATTTCACGATTAAAATAGCCACGGCCGCGTATGACGAGCGAAGATTGCATGCTGCAGATTATTCTCGCGGCACGAAATAACTGTTGAAATCGTTTCTTCGCGGCGTGTGCTCCGAAAGGACCGCTTTTCTCGCTCGGTCTAGAAACATATCGGTCGTGGATTCGCGACTTCAGCTCGGCAACTTTCGTCGGTAATCTCCTCTTCGCGGAGACTCTTCGCTCGATGGCGCAAGATCAACCACGAAAAAAGCAACGAGGCGGCTCTCGCTTCTTATTAGTCATTTTCGGCGATTAATAGCTCCCCCTCGTCGTTCCTTCCATCTCGATTTCACCTGGCCGACATTGCTAAACATCGGATCGTGATCCTGTGAAGAAAATCGTTCGGCGAATCGCCGTTACTCAATTCGAAGCGGCGCTTCGCGACGATGATGTCGCGTTATATAGTTATAACTGTGACAGAGTGGCAGAAGGAGAAAAAATAGTGGGGTTATTATTACTTTTTTATTTTTTCTTCCAAAATTTTTAAATTTTATATCTAACCTATGTTTATGTTCCTATATTTTATAATCCACGTTATATTTTCTATATCATATATAAAATTATATATTATATAGAATTTTATTATATACAATATTAAATATACAATATTATATATATTATTAATTTATATATATTATTATATTATTATTATATATATAATATACAGATATACAATATTATATATATAGATATACAATTTTATAAATATATATATATATACATATTAAAGATATATGTGTATATATTAATGATATATATAAATAAGTATATATATATATATATATATATATATATAAAATCGCGGAAGATAGAATATAAATTAAATATAAAATTTACAAATTTTGGAGGGAGAGAAGCAAACTGTAAGAACCTTCACTACTCTCCCTCCTCTTCTATCACAATTATAATTCTTTAACGCAATATCATCATCGACAATGAATTGAATAACAGCTATTATATATATATTCTTTTTTTTTTTGTAATTCTCTTTATTAATATGTCAAAATTGTACCTATATATTCGTGATACAGTTGAAACATCTATCCCTCTGTATTTTTTTTTTAAATAATTGTACATTAAAAGATTTAGCTCGTTAATAAGGATTATTATTATTATTATTATTGTTATTATTATTATGAGCTGGCCGACTAGCTCGGCCCCGTCTTCATCGACGAGCGAGCCCGTTGTAACGCTTCAACGAGGAAGCAGACGCGGGATAAGGGGAAAGTCGTGTCGGGTCTCTCGTCGAGTCATTAAATTAGATCGCCAGCGATGTGCCTCGAGATAAACGAGACCGCGATATACAGTAAGAGATACGTAACTACCTCTGAGGAACGGAGCGCATAGCATAGAGTCCTATCTCAACGAAAGGGTATGCGATCCTCGACCCTAACAAGCCGTATCAACCTGTCGTAATCCGGATCCCTTTTCCTCTTCTGGTTCCAGGTGCGCGCACTCCAAGTCCCGGTCGACAACGGCCTTCGCAGTAGTCATGAGCAGGTCCTGATCGCGGACAGCCGTGGGCCGACGCGACGGGGTGGATGCGGCGGTCAACGACAGGAACTACCACGAGCAGCCCGACGTTGACGATACCAACCGCAACAACGACAACTGCGTCGTCATTCAGAAGGGATCATCGCTCGCACATCGCGAGAGTCACGTGAGCGACGCGACCTTTCCTCATCGCCTGTTCATCGTACAGTCCCCTTCACGCCAGTCGCAGAGCAGGTTCAAGGGAGGCTGTAGAATGAGCATCTTAGCCATCGCCCGCAGGAACTGGGCGCTACGCCTGTCGGTGGTGCTGAATGTGTGCGTGCTGCTGTACGTGTGCACCAACATCGGCTCGTCCGGGCCGTGGATCGAGGAACCGCCGACCAACTGGGCGGCGCCGCTCCAATCGGACACCTACAGCACCATCGACCTCGTAAACGGCACTCAGAAGGGTGCCGCGTCCTCGTCGGCAGCTTCCGCCGCGTCTGTGGGCGCTATCAAGGATGCCACGGCGCCTAAGACGAACGGCGCCGTCGCTGCCGCCGTCGCCGCCGCCGCTACCGGTCCCTTCAGGAGCAAGCTTCTCGTCACCACAACGCCCAACGGGGCCAAGGTCGAGGCTCTCGACAAGTCGGAGCATTCGCATAATCAGACGGTACGTTCTCTTTTGGTCGTCCTGTTTTCTCTTCATAGCCCGCTTCCCTTCTTCTTATCTTTGATCTTTCCTTTGATCCTCGCAATGCGCCTCGACGCTTTCAAACGAGGGCTGCTGACAATAGAAATAAAAGATAGGGAACATTGTTATAGCTGCTCGTATAGCACCAGAGATGGGAACTTAAATTTAAGTCCCTTTTTTAAGTGCTTTTCGTTGTTATCTGGAGAAATATCTGTTGCAAGTCACGCTCTTCAAAGAATTAAGATTGCATTCCAAAACGACCTTTTTTCGAGGAAGATTGTGCTGAAAATCCAAACAGTTTATGTAACGTGAACCATGAATTTGCAGTAAAATTTTCCTCAAAAAGAATCTTTTAAAATATAATCCAAGCATAAAATTTCGATGCTTTCGGAACGACAGTCCTTCCTTTCTTCTCTTTATCTCACCTTTGATCTTCTCTTTGATCCTACCAATGTAACGTTTTCCTCGACATAATGGTGGAAATAAAAAATAGAAAATATTGTAGCTGTGTGCTCGTAGCACTAAAAGTGAAAACTTAAATTTCTTAATCAGTCTTCATTGGTATCTAAAGAAACATCGGGAATGTTGCGGGTAATATTCCTGAAAGAATGAAGTATGTAATTTTTCCGACAAATATCGCGGAACGACAGCGCCTTTCTCTCTTTTTCGAGCAGCGAAATGAAAATGGATCGTACAAAAGTCACACGAAGAATTCCCACGACTTTCGATGTGCACTCGAGCGTTGTATCATTAACTCCAAAGCGGACAGTTATTTTCGTTATCGTAAAAGACGATCGCGTTATCCTTCTGCCTTTCACGCCGCTCAATGACCAATAACTGTGCAACTATCGAAGTTCGCGCCGGTAGAAGCCGATTTCCTTCGCGAGATCGCGTTACCGGTGTGTGTATCGCATAGAAAAATTCAGGCAGCGAGCGCTCTGCGGTATTTCCAACGCAAACGATAATTTCCTCATTTTAACGGCGGTTAAACGAGCGCTTTCTCGTTTCAGGTGAGGAACGGCACGACGGTCGCGCGGCCGGCGGCGATGAGCCTGAAGGAGGCCATTCCCTGCAACGAGAAGTCAACCGAGCCGAGGCGGGCGCAGCGGGGCGACTACTGGGTTCTCTATAATTACGTGCCGATGAGCATGGCGGTGAGATGCTGGGAGAGCGTAACGTACACCACGCACGCCGACTACACGTTCCTGGACAATCTGGAGCCGCTGCTGGAGCGCTGGCGGGCGCCGATATCGATCGCCATGCACGCGCCCGGCACCGACTTCCCGGCGACCCTCGACGCCATCAGATATTCGAGAAATTGCGGCAGTCCGTTGGTCTCGCAACTGGTAACCTTCCACGTCTTCTTCAGCAGCAAACACGTGCCAAAAGCGGTGAGTGGACGATTTGACCCTCGATCCGAGTGTCATCCACCGTCATCTCAAGTTCCACCCGCGATATGTTCAAGTCTCTCCCTGAGTTCCAGATCCATCGCGAATTTCCTGAGCCATATCGCGCCAACGCGATGAACATATATTTCCTTCCGTTAACCAGCAGTCACTGGAGAGACCCCGCTGTGTTCACCCCGAGCACTTTCCCTTAGACATCTCGTGTGAATCTATGACACTTTGCAAGTATCCCGCTGATACGTTATAACGTATCTAACGAGAGGACTAACTAGAATGTCATCACATTCAGTCGGTTGCAAGATGCTTTCGATGCAACGAAGTTGGGAGCTTATCTAACTGTCAAAATTGTTGAGAGTTATTGTCGATAAATGCTTACGCGCAACAATAATATAATTAAGAACACTAAATGATAATAAGTAATAATACTAGTAATAATTAGTAATATATTAATTACTAACCAAGAGCCCGTCGCGCAGAATAATGACTTTCAATTTCGGCAGTTTGATGAGCTTCCAACTTCATTGTGTCGAAATCGTTGTGCAAGTCACTGTGCACATGGCGCCATGGATGCTCCATCATCCTCTAGAATGAGAATCGTACGATTTTCGACCTCATGCGTATATGAATAAGATTGAAATCCATTATAAACTATGTTCAAAAAAAAAATATATATATATATATTCACTGCCAGTACTGAAAATTTATAGTTCATTTTATATATACTATAGATTTTCAATACTGGCAGTGAATATCGGAACACAAACATAATTGAAGCCATTATAACTATAGTTACTTATGCGACTTTCAACTTCAAGCGTTATGCTTGAGAATCGTGCAACTTTTGATCTAGGATATAGTATGAAAAAAACATTTATGCTTTTTCTCTCATATAAATTTTTTTAAATTTTACTATGTTTTTAGTCCAGAACTGGGTCGTTGAAACCATCATAATTAAAGTCAAAAATAGATTATTGAATATATAGAAGTAGACTATTGATTTAACTATTATAATTAAAGCCATTATAGCTCTATCATTATAACTACAATTACGCGATTTTTAGCCTCAAACCACTTCAAGACTGAAAATTGTGTGACTCGGGTAAACAGATAGAACATTGGTCTGGCCCATTAATGATAGATCCGGCCGCGGCGCGCGAACGTCGTTACGTTGCGGCAAGCGCAGGAGAGCCCGTCCCAGTAATTTGTTTCTCGGGCGGTGCGTGCGTAAATCTACCTTATGCATATGCAGCTCGCCGCTTGGCACGCGAACGGTATTTAGATCGTGCCGCCTTGTTGCTGTTGTGGCGTCCGTGTATCCTCGTCAAGCTGATACACGTCGTAACGAACACTTCGGCGAGCTGAAGTGTGCGAGTACGTGTGTATCGCGTTCTCTGCTTCCGCGAAACATTCGCGCGGCGAAACATTCGTTTCCGCGGCCGATTTCGCTCATCGCGAAGCAAAGGAGTGGAAACCGCACGTCTTGTATCGCGTGATAAGTTAAGAATACATGTGCTTTTTGCGCACGGGTATCTGCAACCGCGAAACATCAGTCTTTTCTCGTTAGATTAAGACTAGATTAGATTAGATTAAGAGAAGGGAATGCACTATGAAAAAGAAGAGGAAAAAGGGAAAAATACTTTTTGGTAAAAAAGAAATAAAAACACCAACTTCTTGGTACAAAAAGAAATAAAAACACTATCTTCTTGATATAAAGAGAAATAAAAACATCACCTTCTTGGTAAAAAATAAATTATAAAGAAGAAAAGAGAGAAAACGGCCGCCTTCTTAATGGTGCTCTTTTCCCTTCTTCCTTTTCTTGTTTAATGCATATGCGATATTGCTCGCTAAAACTCGTCTGCAATTCTGTCGTAGGTGCCACCGTCGGAGCAGATTGTCTCCGACACATACAACTGCTCGCTCGGGCCGCCGTGGGTGAACGTCAGCCTCTCGAAGATGTACAAGAACGACAAGAAGCTGCTGTACCCGGTGAACGTGGGCCGCAACGTGGCGCGGGAATCCGCGCCCACTTTCTACGTGTTCCCCAGCGACATAGAGCTGTACCCAAGTCCGAATCTGCCTACCAAGTTCCTGGAGATGATCCGTAGGAGAGATCAGCCGGCTCTCTACAAGCCAAATCCCAAGGTCTTCGTGCTGCCCATCTTCGAGGTGGACGGGAAGAGCCTGCCGCCTAACAACAAGACTCATCTGGTATGTTTAACGTATAGCAACCTCATTCGATCGGCTTGCGATTTACATGTGGCCGGATCGACGCTCTATTCTCGATACTGGCAATTAAGCACGTGCCAAAGAGAGCACAACGACGGCAACGAGAGATACGCAGTACGCACGACTGCGCGTTGGCAGTGTAGACATCGAGGACCGACGAATCAATGGTACTTCCTTTGACCGTGGACCTTGATACGCGGAATTAGCGTCGCTATTGTCTGACGGTCTCGCGCACAGCGCGCCGGCTACGACACATGGCTCGGCGCGCGGCACAATGCACCTTTTGTCATGTCGCATTCAGAACTGGAGCGCCTCAACAAAGAACGATTGTAATCTGGACGAGTGTACGTGATACTAATTGCCGGTTATTTCTTTTACCACTTTCCGCCAATACGCAAAGCACGCCACAAGTCGCGCAGGACGTCACGAACGACAAGCCCGTTTACGACGCGTTTGGCTTTTTTTTTATTGCACAATCGCGTACACGACGCGTTTACTGTGCACGACACATATATGTGTCGTGCGTAGAATTCTGTTTCTAAAGTTCGTGTGGGTCCACAGGTGCAAATGCTGAAGGCGGGCACCGCTATACCTTTCCACAAGAAACTATGTTCCGGCTGCCACAACGTGCCCAAAAGCAAGGAGTGGCAGGAAGCGGCCGAGACGGAAGATCTGCACGTGTTCCACATCGGTAAGAGAACTGGTAGCTTCATACACTGGGAGCCGATCTTCATCGGGACCAATAACGATCCTCTTTACGACGAGAGATTAAGCTGGGAGGGAAAGAGTGATAAAATGACGCAGGTAAGTTTATCCGACTGCCTAAACTGTTCGTTGCGAGTGTTTTCAAAACGGTTTCAATGCTTTTCTCAACGCGTTTTGGAACGTAGCCGATGACCTAATGAGAGAACTTGTCTCTAATTGATTCCCAGAAGTTATATTTTCTCATTAGGCCATTGGCTGCGTTCCACATTGAAAAGAAATAAGACACATGAAATGCGCTCCACATTGCATTGAAAAGAAATGAGAGACATGAAATGAATCTCGTTTATCGATATGTTTTGTTTCATTATTTATCATACGACTATTTATTAATCGTCAAGGGAAAGAGATATATTTCGGACAATTTTACAAGTATGCTCAAACAGTTTCAAATACTCTCTCGTCCACATTTATCTTTATTTAGTCATTTCTTTATTTAGTCGCTTCTGATACCACAAATTTAATATGGCCGCGGCGAGGTACAAGGAGCCTTAATTAAATTTGCTAATCGTCATTTAAATGGTATTTCATTAAATCTGTTAAGTTGAATTGTTAATTGAACAATCTTTGATTCCCTTTATCAATCGTCGGTGGAACGGTCTTTGATTGAATTCTTTGAAATCAATCGTCAATTAAACATTTTTCCGTTGATCTTGCTTGAATCAATCGTTAATTAGTTAAATTGAAACATTTGTTCAAATCAGTTATTAAACTGAGAAAAATGCAATTAATATTTTCACAACTCTGCTTTCTGCACACGCACGGTCATTCATGCATATTCATATTATAGATTGTGAGTTTTTTTATGATTTGTTGGCAGGGTTACGCGCTCTGCGTTCTCGATTACGATTTCCTCATCCTGGACAACGCATTTTTGGTGCACCGGCCAGGCATCAAAATCTTCAAGAAGGACCCGCATCGCGATTTGCTCACCGCCAAGACGAACGCGCTCATCAAGAAGATCATCATACCAGAGCTGAAAGTTCTGTACGGTACGCGCAAGGGCTGTGCGGTGTAGCCCGTGGAGTCGCGGGCACGACGGCGTGTGCTTTACAGGTGCCCGTCTGTACGATGGAATTATCCGCGACCCTCCTTGTCGCCCGCGTCATCGTCGAAGCTTGTCGTCGCGCGGCGACAGGTCGCCCGGATCCGCGACGACCTGCTGCGATTCAGTCGCGAGCCGCGAGACCGTGTCCGCGTTCGTTCCGCGCGGATCCCGCGCGTTGTCGAGCAGGCCCGGAAGAATGTTCGTTGCGAATTATAGAAGTCTTGAAACGTAATTCAGTGAACTCCTACATGCCAATTCTCAACAGTGCCGAACGAATGAACGAACAGACAAAAACGAATTAATGAGTATTCACAGTGAGTTCGAGCAACGGACTCTTGTTGTGCTCTCGCGGCAGAAGCGTCTTGTCGTCGTCGTCGTCACGAAGCGTCAGTATTTACAGCGAGTCACTCAGCGGCTGGTGTGCGAAGAATGTTGAGGCGAGCAGAGAACGGCGAAGGTAACCCGAGAAAAGTGTGATGTATATCACGATGCTCGATGGTAACTCTCCTAGCTTTCATAAAAAGAATCAGAAAACAAAGAAAGAAAGAAAGATGTAGCATGTAAAGATATCGTACCACTTATTTTTCACGCGACGGATATATATATGTACACACACACGCATATATATATATATATATATAGATATATTTATCCCCGCCTATCGAATACGATTGTATATAATAATGATGAAAATGGTGCCTCATATACATCAATACGTCTACAGGATTACTGTGCTTTCAGTGAAAGTTGTCACGAACGACGGTGCGAGTTCCGATGCGACTTCTTCGTGAATCGTGACCATTATATTATGTCCGCGGCGTTTCTTGTATCGAGAAATACCGAATATCTTTTAAGAAACACTGCAGATCGGCGCGCTCTCACGTACGTCGTCGAGGCGAATTATACAATGCCATTTATTTTATCAGCGAATGCTCTTAAAGAGATGAAAATTTGAATAACATAATGCTTTACACGCTATTTAATTTTTTGCACATTAAATAATTTCTTCTAGTGCGAATCGACATATATTTCCAACTAGAAAATCGGCTTTTGGTTGGAATTCAATATGTTCTTATATTGTTTTTTTTACTAAATCGATTATCTTTTTCAAGACGTAGCAAATTTTATAAGAATATTTTATGAGAATATTTTTACATTGTAAAATTTCCAGCTATTCTCGATTGCATTCATTATGCACTTTCTTTATCAGAAAAAGATCGCAATTCCTGCGCGCATAAAAATATCTTTAATGATGAAGAAATGAAAATATCTTTAATGATTACGACACACGCGAGATTCAAATTCGAAACGAAGAGGTATACGATTTACTTCTTATTCTTCTTTCCTTAGTGTAGTCAATAGTCATTCAAGATGTCGTTTAAGACTATATTGACTGATCTTAGCTGAATTGAGTATTATTGCGTCTAAGTAAGCGTAACAGTATCGGATAATAAAAACTAAAGCCACGATTATTATATTATGTTGTAATATCGTGCTACGTTCACAAGCACGGCGACTAGTTTTCCTTCTGCATCTATAGGCTTCGTCGGCCTTTGAAACAACTCAGTACACGCGGAATTATTCACAAACGAAGAAGAAAAAAATCACCGTCCAAGACTGAGGGATGTTTGATATAAATTTTCTAGCACGCTCCTCGCAGACTTAATCGACGTAATTCATCGATTATTCAGCATTGCATTAGCGTAACACTTTCGGACTCCGCTCGAGTATATACTTCGTTTCGATCGAATAATCGCGAGAACGAACTTCTTTTGCGAACAAGAAACGAAAAATAAACACATCGGGGATTATGAACGATTCGTTTGGGTCGATGCAGCTTTTGTGATTGCACTTGTAACAAGAAGAAGCCTCGCAGACAATGTCGCATACGTTGGAAAACAAGGAAAGTCTTACCTTATAAATACAATTTGTCTTATATTGTACCAAATATAAGACCGCGCGACGATTATCAGCGCGATCGTAAACACGGAAATGTAGTGTTTTCTAATCTCAAATATTATGTAACGTATTATTATCTAACGGCATTATTGTATTTGCACACAGGCGCCTGTTTAACGTAACGTATTATAACCGTATTTAAAAATAACACATTCTATAAAAAAAAGAAATTCTCTGGTATAATGTAAATTTTCGCTTGAGAGAGTAGTGTGGCTAAAAAAAAGGAATGAAAGAAAGAAGGAGGAAGAAACAGAGATAATGCTTGAAATTTCATATTCCGAGAGCCGACACGCGATGATATATCGACGTTTTACACGAGTAACTGTTCGAAATTAATAGAGGTAATAATTCCTTCAGCAAGGTCGTACTGTAAGAATTATTAATGCTGCCTTGTAACGTCTGATTCGTTCGTTTTTTAACCAAAATCTTGATCGACGATCTTCCGCTCTTTTCGGAGCGGCCGAGTTATATACTGTCGCATCGAGATAAGATACATATACACTCTATATGTGTACACGTACTCTTATCCGCGGCAGTAAGGTCAACACGGCAGCGAAACGGCGTTTACTGTATATAATATAAGCGCATGATATATGAACTGTATACTTTTCTATCACCACCCCGAGTAATATGACCAGTGAATGTACATGTGATTATTAAGACTCGCGTAAGAACAGTTGGGTCAGTATGTAACAATTTATTCCGAAAGCGATCAGAATCAGAGTAATCTCGACCGGGACAGAGTGCTGACTCATTTTTTTGTGATAATATTAGGGCACAAAGTAATTAATATTCCTGTAATCGCGCTTCTCGTCCACTGCGGAGGAATCCTTGAAGCCGGTTAATCGTATGATTTCTCGCGTAAACACAAGTAGCTATTATTGTTTTCGCCGAGGATGTTAATTAAAGTGTCTCACGATATATTTCAATAAATTAATGTAAAAAAATGCATATATTGCGATTTCCGTTATTAAGTTTATAGTTCTGGAAATATTTTTAATGACATCATACCGCATTATTTCCGCTTGCGGGAAAATTACTGAAGTACTGATTAATATCCTCGGCATGTAGAGGATATATATATTTTTTAATTATGTTTTTTTCTTCGTTTACATGTCGCGTTGATAAAATATTTTTTGTGAAGTATGTGGAGTTTAACTTATATAAGTTCCTTTCATCTTCTCTTCTTTTTCTTAATTTATCAGGGCTATGCAACCACGTGTGTATGTATGTGTGTGTGTTTATTTGTTTGTATGTATGTATGTGTATATGCATGCATACATGCATGTGTGTGTGTGTGTATGTGTATTCGTCGCTCGACTTACATAAAGTATAATGTGTATTCTGTGCCTTATATATATTCGTCTCTGTCTCCTCGCGTGCATGCGTACGTGCATGTGCCAAAATGCGCGTGTACATTTATAGAAAGCTATGAGTGAATAAGCAGAGAAAGAGACAAGCTGAAAGCTGACTCAATTATATATAATTAGAATCGACATATGTAGGGATCGAGACTTGTAGCAAGATTTTTATATCTATTCCGAAGAAAGAGAAAGAGAGAGTGCGTGCGTGTTTGTGGTTTCGTGTTGTAATGAAAGGGTGTAATTGTCGCGAGCAAAACGCCGCGATTTACTCGCGCCCGTCGTTTCTTTTTTTTTCCTTCTCTTGTATAAAGTAATATAATTGAGCGAGAGAAAGAGAGATATACACCGTAACGCGTTGCGCTAACATAATAGCGCGACGGAAATTATGCCGCTGAGTTTGTCTTTCCTGACTGAGCATTTTCATGCAACAAGTACGAGACTGTGAAAGAGCTACCAGAAGTCGACACCGAAGAAATTTTCGTTTTTTCTAAGAGTAAAATAAAGAGAAAAAAAGAGAATCATTATGCGTTGCGATACTTGTAATTAATGTAAATACGTGTGATTGTAGGGTAAGAAGATGTATCTCATCGGCTGTTTCATTCAACAAAATATGTTATTACGTATCCGTAGTCTATACTCTCGAGATGTGTCCGCGATTTTGCTGATCGTAATAAAAAAGAAGATCCGCCGCATCGTCCTCGTTTGCGTTTGTAACAACATTTAGGAAAGAAAAGGAGAGAAAAAAGGGAGCACGAATGAACGGCCCGACGACAGCAGAGCGTTTTACATATATATCGTTGTCAGAAAATAATAACAAAATTATAAGAAAATAGAATTATACACGTGTATACATGCGCGGAATCCAAGATTTGTATCTGCATCTATGACGATCTTATATAGTACGGAAACACATTATATATGTCTGGATACAATAGTAAAAATTATTGAAGATATGTTACAGGACACTCCGCCTTTTATCGTGCGATTTTTGGCGAAACTTTCATTTCTGTCGTGATTATGAAGAAGCTTGCAGTATTATGCAAATGTACGCGATAAGTGTACTGATGTACATATTTGTAAGAGACACGAAAAACACAATCACTTGTTCCAAAGTGTGTACATAAGCAAAATTGTATTTTTTCAAGTAAAGGAACGAGCGAGGGATTGATTTAATATTTTCGGAGTCGTAAAGAGATCCAAAGATGAGAGGCTGCAAAGTAAAAACGCATTACAAACGGAATCGAGACAACGATAATTTGCAACTTGTTTCGTGAGCTTTACCAAGTTGTTTTCAGAAACAAGCGTCGCGAAGGCCTTTTTGTCTCTCTATTCGTGAAAAATATTAGGTAAACATTATTGCAAAAATTGCACGTAACATGTACACTACATTACATTTAATTTGTGCAGAAATTAAATGCGATATAGTGTAATTAGTAGCGTAACTTATAATTACGAGAAAGAAGATGAAGAAACTATAAGAAAAAATGGTGCATTTGTAACGTTATAATTAAACTTTATGTTATATATAATTAAATAAATAATTGAAATGAAGGAGGACTTTATATCGATCGAGGACAAGATAGACGGCCAACCGAATAAGAAATTCGTTTTAATTTTATTATAATGCAAATGGGCTGGAAGCACAATAGCTATACGAGAGCGGAATAATTGCGAATGACGCAAGTGAAATTATTTTAATAATCTTCGAGGTTCTTTTGTGTAATTGGCGTTCATCTATTTATTCTTAGAGCATGTGACAGCGATGATCGGTGCGTAACTACATACCATATGTTCCAGCGTCGTGCCTAGATAAATAAATTAATTTATCAGCTAAATCAGCGAGATATTTTCTTTATTTTCCAACATAATTAGAAGTAGTATTTAAAAAAAAATAAGAAAAAAGTATGAGAAAACTAATTAATTAACACAAATTGATATACATAACAAATTTGAATAATCGCCATTGATCATCCAACTCGATATGTTTTGACAATAAAGGATGTTAAAGTTATAAATTTAATGTGCTCAAAAGTAGAAATTTCAATTTTTAAAGTTCTTTTTAATGGCCATTGTATTGTCAGTACTTAACGTAACGTAATACGTTACGGATATTCTTGTGAGGAGACTCTTATATCACTACTTCTCAATTGTTCTATTGTTACTTTTAAATCCATCACTACTGCAATTTTTTTTTTTTTTTATTTAATATAATATACATAGCCGCCACTACTGCAATTGGTCGATGTAGATGGTGGCGACTCATAACGGAGACTTTGGAACTAATTACAAAAATAACGGGTCGAAGGGTGCAATTCACTAGTTGTAGTGTCTAGTGGATCGCGCTTTAAAGCATTTGTAGCGACTAGTGGATTGTACTTTTCGACCCGTTATTTTTGTAAAATTAGTTCCGAAGTCTCTGTTACGAGCCGCCATCATCTACATTGACCATTCGCAATAGTGATGTCTTAGCAGTGAGAAAGAACATTAGACAGGGTAAGAAAAGCAAAGATCGTAAGACTAGGTTTAAACCGAATAAGCTTGTACTTAAAGGCTATGTATATCACTTAATAAAAAAAAAAAAAATTCGCAATAGTGATGGATTTAAAGGTTGAAGAATAGAACAATTGAGAAGTGTGATAGAATTGAGTAGTGATAGAAGTGTGTGTAATCGTTCGTGCAGAGATTAATTTCGTTATTAATTAATAGTTATATTAATATTATTATCACTTTCTAGTTTAGTTTAATTCTTATCCAGTGAAATAAGGTTGATTTTCTTATAAATAAAAAGATAAACGTTTAAAGATAACCTAAAATGGCTACTAAAACGTGGAAAAGACCTAGAAAAGACGACAGTGAGGATGAACTTTTGCGCCAACAACAAGAATTTTTAAAGGCGAAACAGCAACCATCTGCGAGAATAAATCGGTAATTATACACTCATAGTTTACATTCCTCACCTCCGATTTTGCGAAAAAATACTTTTTAAAGGCAAATAACTTTTTTATTTGGAAAAATCGTCGCTTTCTATTACGAAACGAGATATTAATTGTCAAAGTTAACCACTATTAAGGTTAGGAAAACTGTCACATCGACGACAAACAGCGACATGTATATATATATATGTTCCGTAGCCACTTGCGCATACAAATAGTGTGCGAACGTTTTTTTCAAACAGAAAAGTTGTTTGCTTTTAAAAAACGCGTCGATTGAGTATTTTTCGTCAAAATCGGAGGTAAACTTATGATTACCAATAAATCTAACAAATTTTGTTAAAAACAGTATAGAAAATGGAGCGCGTGTATCTTACAATGCAATGCAAGATAGAGGCAAAAGGAAATCACGTTTTAATTTAAAGAAGCTTGATTCAAAACAAGAAATAGTTTCTACTTCACATAGCACTGGAGAGATAATAAATCCTATTGTCAAAGAAAAAATTCAAGAATGGAAACTGGAAGATAAAGTACAAAGCATACCTGTTGCATCGTCGAATATAATACTTGGTAACATTGTAGAAAAGAAATACCAGATTGAAAGGTACAAGTTTGATAACAGTCATGTTCCTGTTGCAAGTGAAATGGGATTTCCTAAAGTTTTTGGATCTGACAATATGGTATCTATAGATAAAGTATATTTTGCCTTTTAAATATATCATTGTTACTATTGTTTAATATTGTTTAAATATATTATTGTTACTATATATTATATTGTTATCTTTATGCTAACTATGTTTTATTTTATAGAAGACTAACAAAAAGCAAAGTTTATTCTCGCAAAAAGTTTCAATGATAAAACCTCTGAAATATAATTCAATGAAAATTCAAGATGAATACAGTAATAACAAAGAACAGACTAACATTGTAATTACAGATCAATTGGCTATTGAAATTCATAAAGAAAATTTGGAGAAACTAGCTCAAATGAGTAAAGAAGAGATATTGAAAGAGAAAAAGAATCTTGAGGATATTCTTGATCCTAATATAATACAATTCTTGAAAAATAAGAATAAAAAGCCTATAGAAAATATTAATCAGGATAGTACAAGAAAATATGATATTTTGCCAACAAATGAGGCAGGAATGAATATAAATGTATCTAAATGTATAAATGACAGGAATATAAAATCTTCTTTAAATGATAATGATGACACAAAAATGGATTGTGAACCAGTATCAGTAGATATACCAAAGTCATCCAAAGACATATTAGAGGAAGGCAAGCAAAAAGGATGGCTTCATATGAATACTCCAGAACCAGAAAAGTTAAAATGGATGGTTGATGTGCCTGTGGAGAAGAATGATAAGACAACTTCAAACGAATGGTACAATGCACGATTTGATTTCAATGGTAAATAATACATGCACTTACTTTATTTAACAACGTAAAGGTGTGATAATTATAATAAAGACCAAATTGCACTTATCCATAAATACACTTATTATTCTTTTATTTGTGTCATTTTCTCAGGTCTCTTGTTGCCATACAAAGACGAAAGTTTGACTATCGACAAAGGCCTCCACCATCACGGAGAAGAGCCTGAACGACCTGGATATTCCCTGCAAGAGTTACTACAACTTAGCAGATCTTCCACACAACAGCAACGATGTACAGCTCTCATCACACTGGCCAATATTATGGAAAAGACCCGTAAAGGCTGGTACGACAAGGTCCTGCATCCAGCACCACTGAGCACGCTGAGTCAGAAAAATATCCTGCTGTTACTGAGATTCTCTCTAGACGACACGTCCGTGGCTGTGGTGACGGCAGCGTTACAAGCACTTCGAGCTTTTATGTGCAGCGAAGCAGACGAAATATGCCTGGATAGACTGTACGGATTCGACGACCTCTTGGAACCAACTCTGACGCCGCAACTCGAGAACAATGATATGAATAACCTAAAAGATCACGAGTTGGCGCAATTGGATGCCGTAGCTGCTTTACTGAGATCGGACTTTCTTTTGAGAATTAGGTACTGATAACTTATCGTTACTCATGACTTTTTAATCAGACATTTGTAATAACTTGACGATTTTAACATCCCGATATAAATGCACTGATAATTCTTATAAGTAACGTTTTACGATTATATACATGTTTAATTCTCTTTTAAGAATGTGAATATAATTATTGAAGTTGATGTGAATGTAATTATTTCAGGTACATATTGAGTGAAATGCACCCGCCGCCTGTTGGAGTAACAAGTGCCTTAGAGATACTTATTCGCGTTGTAAGACACTCGCAGATAACGGCATTAAATGTCTCGTCCACGTCACATTTGTTGGATATTATTATCCATAATTTTATGCCACTGTCTACGGACCGATTAGGTATTGCATAGATTAAACTTATATACTTTACTGTAAAATAATTTCTCTTCTTTCTGATTACTTACGTTCGAAGTTTAAAATTTTTCATAGCGATGCAGGACACGATAAATGATTCTTATGGAATCCCTGTGGTTAAAGCTATTAAATTATGTCGCGTCCTCGTTACGTATGGCAAGAAGCCCATCGCGCAAAAGTTGGATAACTTCAAAGTTATTCACATCATCTTGACATACGTTAGTAGCGAAACAGGGTAAGTTCGTTCACGTGTATTGTTCTACATCTACATACATTATGTCTACATATTTTCATACATTTCTATTTTATAAAAATCTTTGAACATTTTTCAGGAAGAAGGATGACATTAATCTTAGCATCGAGAGTCTGCGACTTTGGCGTTTATTATTACATTATGAAGTAGGATTAGACAGTGTCACAGGTGCTCAGTTAATCCTTCTGTCACAATTACAATTGTTGTTGAGTAATCACGATATTCAAAACACGTCCGAATTAGCCTGCGAACACGCAGCTGCATTGATCGCCGTAGCAAGTTATGAGAAGACACTGAAACCGAATATTTCTGTCCTGCTAGCGAAATGGAATACTCAACTATCAACGTTATCTAATATGACAGTAAGTTGTTGCACTGCAAATTTTAATCAATCTTAAATTTGAATACCTGTGCATATGAAACAAAATATTTAGAAAGCTATATTAAAGCTGAGGATTTTGTTTTATATTCAGTATGGTTAAATTCCGTTTCCTCATCAACTATCATTGTCTTAATACTTGTTATTATTACTATGGAAGTAAGCATGATAAATAAATAAATGTGAAATTCTCAATTTCAGTGGGGCGTTATGAAATTAATTACGGAAACTTTATCGGCAGTCGATGATATATCCGCACTCAAAACTTTGTGGATGCGTAACCAACATCTTTTCTCGACGTTCCGGTAGATATTGCGTCATCTTTATCAATTTCAAAGCGTCTGAGCACAAAAAAGTTGTCAGTGAGACTTAGTGTATATTTATTGTTTGCAGAACTAATTCGAATTTGTTGAGCAACTACAAACCAGCTGCTGATCGAGAGCCTTCCTGCCTACCGAATCTAGGTGTTCTTACGGAGAATGGACAGCTGCTGCCGATCGTGTCTCGAAATTCTTGCATGCCATTAATGGCGACGATGCTAAATAAGCTTAACAATAACTTGCTTTACAATAACGGGAATCACGACATTGGATCGATATTGGAGAACTCGTGCCTCCGTGAATACATAAGTGATTTAGAAAAGGCTGAGTGGAATTTTGAAAGATCATGGTATAGTAGAACAGAATTGTACCTGTTAACGGCGGTGGCAAAAGCGGCTGTCCTTTCTAAGGAAATGTTGAACATCGAGATAACAAACAACTTGTGGAAGATCAGATTCAGACTTGTGTCGGCTCTACCTGCGGACGCTACTCATCACGTAAAGGAGCTCCTTCGATTCGCGCTAGGCGAGAAGACAGAAATGGCGGTATACATGAACGAGATGGATAAGCGGTTGTTATATTGTCTGAATCTATCTGATTATTCGAATCATTGGATTAATGTCAGTCTGTCCAGAGACATAGTTTCGTTGTACGAGAGTTACGTTAGCCCGAACGGAGATTGGAGTCAAGCAGCAATGCCTAAAGACTGGCTCTTCTTGCCACTGGTTCATATATATACAAAGTGCAAAAACAATGTCAGGCTACAACCGGATGATAATAACCGCATTGTGACAGTGCTGAGTCTAGTGTACTTATCCGTTCTTGTGGAGAAGCTGTCGCCTAGTTTAGTATTCAGTAGACTAGTATTAGTATACCTTTGTGACACGGTGTACCTGGACAAGGATGTCTTCCCGTTGCTCACCAGTGTGATGACCGACCTATTGAAGAGACAACACATGAGATTAGACTTCAAGACGGAATTGCCGGGACTGAGCTCGTTCGTAGATCTGTTCACAGCAATGTGCGAGCATTTCTGCTCGACCTCGTACGGCGATGATGGCTTCGCCATGACTCTATTGGTACCCGTGGCGCAACGGCACGATACACATTACAGGTAGAACGATACAGACCAATTGATGCACATCTAGTTACATGCACCATATCTTTCTTCATCCGCGTGACTTTGTTATGCTTATTAATCCACATCAAACAATTTTGTCTAATCGTTAATTACAGAAAACTGCTGTGGTCGGAACACGCAGGCGTGCTTCGATATCTGCGACTACCGCTAGAAAAGTTGACGGTGCCGTTGAAGGAGTATCTGTATCCGGAAGAGGAGGACACGTCCTTGATCGAGAGTTACATCACTGCGCTAATTCGAGGTGTGGTCAAGCAAGCGTGGTGTCCCATTCCATACATGATCGCCCTGCATCATTCAGCGATGTACCTTAAACACTCGAATAAGTTGGCGGTACGGATGCGAATGCAAGTGGAGAAATTGCGCGACAAGGACATCGTCAACAAGTTACTGCAGTATGAGCCACCACGATTATAGGTACCACACGCTAAAATTCAGCACAATGGGCTTTGTATGTATTATACAAATAACATCTCCTTTCATCGATTTTTTAATTTATTTTTAAACTGTGTGTTTTAAATTCCCGCGTATGTTAATGGTCAATGAAAAGCTATTCTTTCTTATTAATAAGGATTTTGCTCTCTCAATTTTTGCACTTTTTTTAAATTTTATATTTTTTTGTTAAAAAAAAATATTGTGCAACTATGAGAATAAACACATTTTATTATCGTTATCAAAAGTGCAAAAATTAAGAGAGCAAAATCCTCATTAATAAGAAAGAATAGCTTTTCATCAACCATTAACATACGCGGGAATTTAAAATACGCAGTTTAAAAATAAATTTAAAAATCGATGAAAGGAGATGTTATTTGTATAACACATACAAAGTCCATTGTGCTGAATTTTAACGTATTCATTAATTTTTACTGCACAACCATTGATTGTGATTCTCTTGTGGAGAATCTCGCGGTTTCATCGTTACAACTTTAATTTGTTATAGTCCCCGTTGAAATTCACGACGTAGGTTAGTGCGACTTATATTTCTTTACGGAATTTATTTCAATAAAAATTAAAAAGTACATATATATATTTTTTTTTAGTGCTACCGTCGGATGCGTGTAAGTATATATCGTGTGCGAACAGCACTTGTACTTACACGTATGCGATGGTGGCTACGTTAATATTTATTGAACAAGTAGAGAGAGTAGAAACAACCTGCCTTGATTACAGTAAGCGTAGAGGCACTGATTGGTCACTTCGCTGATTGCCAAAGTTTCCGAGTACTTATTAAGGTGCGTCGAGTTGCTATCGTAGCGTAAAACATTTGAAAATGCTTCTGCAATGAATTTCCCGAGTTTACTCCCCCTTACACGATGAGCATAAGAAAGGTACATCGTCTCAGATCTCTCAGACCTTTCGTTAACAGGAATGAAAGAAATTTCCCTATGAGAAACGACGAAGCAAGAGTCCTCGATTTTCTCAGAAGTGCGAACGTATAGAAAAAGAAGAGGCGGAAAAATTATTGTAAATTAGAGAAATATACACCGAAATGAACGCGCGCAGCGTTAACCCCTAACTACTACTAAAGTGGGTTTTCGTTTCCCCTTCGTATAATGTGTGTGTGCGCTTACATGTGTGTGTGATGTTTTCACAGTAAACACTAACAGTAACATAAGATCAATATTATAATTTCTCACTCAGCAATGTAAATGTAATATAACATATGTTGCACATAACAATTATACGAGAAACGATAACATTGATATAATGTTACTATTAATTTTGATATTTACTTATCATCAGAGGTATGGAAATATTAATTAAATGTTGCTCGATTTAACAATTGATAATTCAACTAATTAACGATTGATTCAAGCAAAATCAACCGGAGAATGTTTAACGATTCATTTTAACGAATTCAATTAAAGACTGTTCAATGGACGATTAATATGAGTGAAAGGAATCAAAGGTTATTCAATTAACAATTGAACTTAGCAAACTTAATTGAAGGTTGCTTGATTGACGATTGATGTCAGCAAATCCAATCGAATTAAATTATTCAAGGATAAATTATTGAAGGTTATAATTGGTTTGTGAATAATATTCTCTCTCTCTCTCTCTCTCTCTCTCTCTCTCTCTCTCTCTCTCTCTCTCTCTTTCTTACTCTCAGAACATCGTGGCATCATGGAAAATGCCAATAGTTAAGTAAGACCTGCGTTGAAAGGAGCACTGAGCATATCAATTGTTACCAAGCAATCTTCGATTGAGTCGATTGAATTTGCTCATATCAATCGTCAACTAAACGTTCTTTAATTCAATCCACTAAGTTCAATCGTCAATTAAACGGCCTTTAATAGAAATCGTTAAAAATTCTTCGGTTGATTTTGCTTGAATCAATCGTCAATTAAGCGGCTTTTAATTAAATTTTTTAAGTTCGATTATTAACTGAATGATCCTTAATTCCTTTCGCTCATATCAATCGTCAATCGAACGGTCTTCGATCAAATTGGTTCATATTGTCAGTTAAACGATAATTAGTTGAAAAGGTAATTAATTATCCGCAACTCTGGTTATAATGTCACATAAGTTTTCATAAAATCATTAAATATATACAGTTTCTCTCTCCGGAGACACGAGAGAATTCATTGTCAATGACAATTTCCGCGAGAAATAAGTCGCAGAAATCGTTATTGGGGGACGGGGGGGTTTCGTTTCAACCCCGCTCTCTCTGTTACCGGTATATCATTGAAACATCGCTGTAGCAGTTAACGGTTAATAATGCGCACGAGAGTGCGTCGTCACACGGCGAGCGAGCAAACGAGCGTTTTGATCGCGAACTTACGGAAGCTGACACTGCGCCGTCACGCGAGGACGCGAATTCTTTCCAGTTTTTTCAATTAGCAAACAGTACCCTCTTCCGTTCGCCTGCTGGTCGGCGTGTGACATCGCGCGATTGATTCATCCGGCAATTAAATATTAATTCGATCGATGACGCGCGCGCGCACTCGATAGGCGGTAATTGTGTACAATATCGATGCATAGGCACCTTGTTATCGATGTGTTTGTGTACAGTTAATTTTCCCTCCATTTATTCTCATCGCGGTCTCTCACTGCTCGAGAGCGATCAGAGAATATCGATCGAAAATGATTATGTAGACAATTAGGCGGAATTCTTCCGACGCGTTTGACAATTTATCTTGCGCATCGTCGACACGTTAAGGGCCTTCACACAAGAATGCCTGCAATACGCTTTAAGTTGCGTTAAGACTCCTGGCCTCTCGCATTGTCTATCTCTTTTTAATAATGTCAGAAGCGAGAAAATGCATGCTGAAAATTCTTGCGAAATATGTTAAAATAAAAATATATATCCATAAAGTAACACTTGCAATCGATTAAACAAATTTGTAAGATCTTCCGTGCACTCCCCTTTTGCCCTAACAATCAATAATTTGTCGTAAATTAACGTGACATACAATTCATCTTCTTAACTTATTTCTTAGTCTATTTCTATTCAGATTAATTTACAATAAATTATTGATTGTTAGAGCAAAAGGGGAATGCATGGAATATCTTGTTTAATTACAAATTTGTTTAATCAATTGCAAGTGTTATTTTATATTTTATATAAATATAATATATTTTTATTTCAATATATTTCGCAAGAATTTTTAGCATGTATTTTCTCGCTTTTGACGTCATTAAAAAGATAAAGCGAGAGGCAAGGAGAAATCAAGAAAATCATAACGTAATAAAAACATGATTGTTTTAAGAAATATAACAACGTAGAAAAAGTAATAACAATTTCGATAAGATATTAATTTAACAAATTAAATATTTCTATCCCGATCTTTGTTTTATTATAAAATAATTTGATATGTATATCTCATGTATGATAATATGCCTAATCGCGCAAAATCACACTTTCGTTACGTTACGATTTTCTTTACACGTTGACTTAAATTTACTGTTACTTACAAACTTCAATTTACAGTCAGCATTTAACACAACTTAAAGCGTGATCATCTTGATTTATGGCGTCAAAAGCGAGAAAATGCGTGCCCAAAAGTCCTGCAGAGTACATCGGAATAAAAGGATATATCCAAAAGATGACATTGCAATCGATTAAGCACACTTTCAAAATACACTTTTAGAACAAAAGGAAAGGAGTTCGGAATATTTTAGTAGTGCGCTTAATCGATTGCAAATGTATTTTTTTTTTTTTTTTTTTTTTGGATTAGTCTTTTTATTTCGACGTACTTTGCAGGAATTTAGGGCATGCATTTCCTCACTTTTGACGTCATCGATCAAGAGTTTCGCGATGAACCAGGAGAACCAGGAGCCTTAATTATCGCCTTTCACGGATAGAACGCTAATAGGACGCTTCGAAGTGCGTTTGTTTCACGGCTTTCCACTATTGCGATGCTGTTCGCCAATTATTGGAATCAACGATCAATCTCAATTATCCGTCGATTGTGATAACGTTTCCGCGAAGTTTCTCTCTGTTCGCTTCAAAACCCAGCTCGCGGATATCGGGAGTATCCCGAGAACACTATTGGCTACCTATACTCCGTATTATTAAAAAAAAGAAACGCTCTGACAGTATTCCAAAAATAGGATTAGGACAAAAAGTTATATTAGACATGAGTCGCTGGTACTATCGATCTCGTCTGTCTTCATTCGGGAGTCCTGGGCGAACAGCATGGACCTCGTACAAGCTGTAGCTTTTCCCGCGCTCAAGATAAACCCTGATCCTGATTCGCGTACGGCGTTCACAGGCGTGCGCGGTCGGCCGATCGCGTGCGAAGGGCATCGATCGCGGCGGCGCGGCGTCGGGTTTCGGATTATCGCCGAGCAACGCTGATAACGAGCGTACGATCGCGATGAGACGGACGGTTCGCTAAGACTCTATGCCGAGCTTCCTGTAAGTCTCCCGGTCCACCGTGACCAGGCGGCCCTCCACGCTGGAGCAGTCGAGTTCGATGCAGTGCAATCTGGCGCCCCATTCGCAGTGACTTTGATCAATCAGCCGGTAGTACTTGATCTGCAGACACGTGGTCAGGTAGCCGGAGCCGAGCACTCGCATCGAGATCGGCAGGTCCTCCCGATGACCGCGCGCGCTCGCCGGAATGTCCTTGGTACTGTGGTAGGCGCTGTATGCGCACGCCGTGCCGTCTCTTGCCCGCTCGATCACCTCCACCGGTTTGCCGCCGATACTCAGGGACCTGAAAGAAGCGCAGTACTCTTAGGAAATGCTGCTCGACAAGCACGGATATCGACATCACACTCTCTTAAAGTGAATCAGTCCTTGCTGCGCGAGAAAATTGCAATTTTACAAATTGATTCGAACAATTACTGTCATTCTGACCAGTCGAGTCTTCACGAATGGAAGCGCGCGACAGATATTTCTATTGAATCGTTAACACGAAGATACTTGAGGACGACTAATTACACAGAAAAAAATTAGTATCCATTTAAAATTAATATATCAAAATTAACAATCATCCCTTTATATATAAACAACGATGTATGTTTCGTTAGAAGAATTTTAAATTTCAACAATGTTACAATTTTATTTTAATATTACAATTTTATTTTAATATTATAATCTCATAAGAAGCATAGTATGATTACTTTAATGGTAGTGATATCTTCTTCCGCGACATATAAAAACATTATTTCTCAGTTCAACATCTTGTGCTTTCTATTCGTGAACAATATATATGATTAATATTGAAATATATTTTTCTTTGTTCACGCATGTATTGATACAAGTAACTTATCTTTGTTCTCAACATAATTTCATTTTAATGTTTACATATTAAAAGTACAGATATTCTGAAAACAAATTTGTTTTCTGTGTAGTTTGACTCGACAGAGTTCATCAAAGAAACTTGATGAAATTTCTGCCGTGCTAAGGAAAAAAGTGGTTATCATTGAAAGCAATAAATATATACTGATTTGTAATTACAAATATAGCACTGAAACTGCTCAGTGCTATCATTATAACTGATATCAGTGACTATTCACTGATTCACTTTAAGAGAACACAGAAAAGAGATCTTCTTTAACTAATAACTAATTAATAAAAATCTACGTGGTTATTTGTAAGATAGTGGAGAGCTTTCTTGTTTTCAGTTTGACTTGTTACATTTATATGCGCTTCCATTGATTTATTATCGCAATCAATTTCCTGTTTCAGGAAACAAAGCGAGAGGGAGATCGTGTTCGTGAGATCATACACGATGATCGTGACTGTTGTTCTTAAATTATATCACACTGCAGGAAATTACGATCTATTTGCGAGTTATATTAGAATCGCGCTTTCCGCCGCATTTGCGAGTTTGACGAGGATTACTTTTGTGCCATTCATCGTAATAGCATTTTAGATTCACTTAAAATAGCAGGCTCAAGGTTACAGCTGAGAAATACGGATACGAAGATCGATTAAAGTTTCTACGTCTGTTTTAAAGCACGCGCTTTTATTAAGTACACGGTCCCGCGAAGACGAAGTCTCACGCTAAAATTTTATATAATCTACAACTTGTCCTCCTTTCACACGGAAATGACAATTCATTTTCGCAGTAACGATATTGGCTTACGCGACGTCTTATTCGTACGCGCGATAAGCGCCGACGGGAATTCGAACGAGCGCGAAGGGAGAACGACGCGAGTAGAGTCCCGATGCGCTTCGCGATGCGGCCGAGCTTTTCTTTCTAGAGGCAAAAATAGATGTTTTCCATCGCACAATCATTGCCACGTGTGTGTACTTTGGTAATATTTTTCCCACGCCTGGCATAACGTCAAGATAAACGAATCGCCGATCGCATGATGGCATCAGCATTCCTATAAATCAACTCGTCGTAAAAATGCGTTACGTCTATAGCGTTTAAAAATAGAAGATCTAGATCGGAAAGAAAAGTAGAGAACGGATGTCGAGTTAAGAGCGAGATGTCTAAACAAAAACGATCGCGCGCATATCACTCAACGCAGTCCTTGTTGCGCGAGAAAATTGCAATTTTACAAATTGATTCGAACAATTACTGTCATTCTGACCAGTCAAGTCTTCGCGAATGGAAGCGCGCGACAGATATTTCTATTGAATCGTTAAAACGAAGATACTTGAGGACGACTAATTACACAGAAAAAAATTAATATCCATTTAAAATTAATATATCAAAATTAACAATCATCCCTTCATACATAAACAACGATGTAATTTGTTAGAAGAATTTTAAAGTCTTGAATTTCAACAATGTTACAGTTTTATTTTAATATTATAATCTCACAAGAAGCACAGTATGATTAATGGTAATATTTTCTTTCGCAAAATGTAAAAACATTATTTCTCAGTTCAACATCTTGTGCTTTCCATTCGTGAAAATTATGTATGATTAATATAAATATATTTGTCTTTGTTCACGTATGTATTGATGCAAGTAACTTATCTTTGTTCTCAACGTAATTTCATTTTAATGTTTAGATATTAAAAGTAAAAATATTCTCAAAACAAATCTGTATAGTTTGACTCGACAGAGTTCATCAAAGGAACTTGATGAGATTTCTGCCGTGCTAAGAAAAAAAGTGGCTAACTACATTTGTGACTTAACCACTTTTTTCCTTGGCCGGGCAGATTAGTCGATAATTTCACGGAGAGTTTGCGTACATGTGACGAAATAACACACGGGATCGTCCTCGCGCCTTCGGATCCACGAAATCTCTCACGATAGAGCTCTCGAATCGCTTGCGTCAGTCTCTCTTAGTTCGCTTATATTCTCGGACGCTCCGTGATCCTTAGATCGACAGGTCCATATATCTTTAGAACGTATCGATCTAGTTTCTCGTATGGACACGAGCGTATTTCGACTCACGCTCGACTGGCTTTATTTTTAGTTTTCGCCAACGCGACCGGTGCGTGCAAATGACCCATGCGCGTGCTGTCGGATCGCGTATCGGTCGCGTGTATCGGCTTCTTATTTTATCAGACATAAAAGCAGCCGCGTGGTCAGGAATTGTCCAGTTATCTCGAAACGGACCTTACTCGACGACTCGTTAAGGCTCGCGAGGCCGCATTCTTAACGCGTAATTAAAACGCCAAATACATCTCTCTGATCTTCAAGCTGAAACAACTTTATACGGCACGCTCGTATAATAAAAGCAGAAGTCGAAATAAAAAGGGCGTATTTGGCGTTTGAAAACATAGAAAAAAATGCTTTGAAACCAATATTCATCAAGTCATCAAAACAATATACAATGTATTGATTTCAATGGTATTACTGTTGAATCAAGAAGACATCCCAATTATGTTATCGCAATGCAATTTCTATTGATACAGCAGCATTTTTCCCCGTCCCTGTCGCGGAACTTTCGATTGATGATGCCAAAAGCGAAAAAACGCATGTACAAAATTCTCACGAAATACGCGGAAGTGAAAGGATATATCCATAAAGTGGTCTACGAGATCGATCGAGATATATCGAGCACACTTGTAAAATATTCCCAAAACTTTCCTTTTGTTCTAATAATCAATAAATAACCGTAAAATTAACGTGACATGCAAACTCTCCCTCTAGTCTGCTTTTCCTCATGGTTTTGTCACGTTAACTTTACGGGAAAGGCAGAGCGACGTATCTCGCAAGATACATCGGTCTGGTTAAAGAGTTAAAAAATGCACGAATGCTTCTTGCGAAATGGGAGACGAACAGAAAGAGACAAGCGGGTGGATCTTTGCGGTCGCAAGCCCGCGGCATCTGAAGGCGTGTGGTCGATATATAGCACGATAAAAAATGCAACGCCCTCGTGACTCATAACATCATAAGCTCGCGTCGGTTTGTTCATATTCTGCCCTGTTCCTCCTGCCTTACTTACATCCGCGCGGAATATTATAACAGAGAGAAAACAAGGACGGCGAACTTTCCGACACTATTACGAAGTTTGTCGTTCCACTCGCATATAACGTGACGATCCACGTGCAGATGTTACGTGCAATCGCAAAACTTAACTATAAACACAATGAAATTGGGAACTCACCAAACTGTCAAAATTGAGAGTCACTACTCTGTGTGACGGGCCCAATAATTATTCTCATTAATAATAATTACTATACTATGTAACATAATAATTATAATATAATATATAATAATAATATATGCTATAAATAAAATAAAAATAAATAAAATATATTATAATTATTATTATTACTAATTATTAGTAGTATTGTTATCATCTGCTATAGTATTGTCATCATTTGCTATTTAATTCTTAATCTTAATTATGTTATTAATTCTATTATTAATGTGTAAAAGTCCATCGGTAATGATCCATAATTGAGATAGTTTGGTGAGTTCTCAACGGTTCTCGCGGAGTTCGAGCTACGAATAATTAACGCGGCATACAATCGACGGGAACACGGAGAGCGACGAATTAACCGATTTGATAGCGACGCGAGCAGGGAGCTCGTGTTCTCGCCCGGGCGCCGACGGGGATCGTTGGTTACCGTGCTCGCGACTAAAATCGAAAAGCAGGCCATGCAATAAGTACATCGCGTGATTCGTACCAGTAATCTGCAGCTGCTTAAAATTCCATGAGATTTTGGCGATAACCGCGGAGGAGGGTCCTGGGGTTTTCATGGGCTTTTCCAATGTCCGAAAAATGACAATGGTAAACTGCTCTATTTCTGCCGCCGCGCGGCACGCGAGCCTTCGTGACTTTTCGAAGATCGCCCTGGACACTTCGCCTCGTGATTGCGCCGAGCAGTCGGATTATTTATATGCGCGCTACGTTTATCTCCGCAATTTACATATTGAATTTCGAGTTCAACGCGTGCAAATCGGTGCATAATTGCACTCGTCCGCCTATGGATCATCGCGTTGGACATCGAATCGACAGTCACGGAGAACGCGAGCTTATTTGTCGAGAAGAGAGCACGTGTTTCCTACCCTGTAATTTTCTTCCATTTTCGATCGTCATGCCACTCATAAAATCAAAAGTTGATTATCTATGAAAGAAATCGAAAAGTTATATATGTAAATGCTATATATATATATATATATATATATATATATATATATATATATATATATATATA